ACCTGTAATCTCAGCCTTTGGGATCACTGTGAATTTGAAGAAAGCCTAGGTTACGTAGTAGGTAAGGACAGTCTGAACTACACAGTGAGACCCAGTCTCAGAACAACAACTACAATAACAAAAAAAATATATAGGCTTGAGAAAACACTCATAATGTGGTGGTATCGTCTGTAATCTCAGCTTTTGGGAGGCTGAGGCAGGAGGATCCAGGTTGACCAACTGTCTGTCTGTCTGCAGGGCATGGAACACAGGGCCTTCCTCACACACAGCAAGTACTCTGTCACTGAGCTATACATTCAGGCTGATAAATGCTCTTCTAAAGAAAAATAAATGGCTTAGAATTTAAGATTTTCTATGTCTCTACAAAGTCATTGTTATCACCCTGGTATTGGCCCTTCTCCTTATGCTCAGACACATCCTACTGCATTTACTGTAAAATCATAAGGTCCAATTTACCTATCATCAAGGTCATCCTCTTCATTTTCACCACAGAGAAGAGTTAAAAGCCCTGGGCTGAGTAACTGGTTGTTCCTTAAATGCTGCCCACTTGTACAGGGTTCTGAGTCAGTCTATGAGCTAAAGCCTAGGCAGACGCACACTATTTGCTAAAATAAATACTGTATCTGAGCCAATGTGTGGAGGCTGAGGCAGGAGGATCCAGGTTGGATATCTACATATCTTCCTTTTTTCCCTCTGCTTTTCCTGCCAATAATCTGGCTGAAAAGTCAAACAGTCCTATAGCCCCTGCTATCTTTACCACTACTTGTAAATGCTTAGGAACATGTAGTGTCAGAAAAAGTGCTGCATCTCTGTGACACTGGCAGAAATAAGGTGGCAGCTATGTAACCTCACACAACGGCCAGGTAAGTCTGACAATAAAATGTTATGTCAGCCAGGCCCTGCAGCACATTCCTGTAATGTCAGCACTCTGGGAAGCTGATGCAGGAGGATCACAAGTTGGAGCCCAACCTGGGCAACTTTATGAGACTCAGCCTCAAAATTTAAGAAAGGAAAAATATAAAATACAAATAAAAAAGGCCCAGTTGCCAGGTGTGGTGGTACACCCCTGTAATCCCAGAACACAGGGGGCTGAGGGAGGAGGATTGTTGCCAGTCTGAGGCCTGTCTGGGCTACATACATGAGAGCCTCCTTCTCCCTCCCTTCACTC